CCTCTCTCCACCCTCGCAAGGTAAGTTTGTTTAGGTAGGAGCGAGTAAGACAGAGATTTGGAAAGCGAAGCTGCTTGCAACGAGCTAAGAGGTATGCTAGAGGCGACCAAGAAATCGTGTTGAAACTCTCAGCGTTTGAAGATTGCAATGCAAAAGGGAGCCAGTGACACAACAAACAACTCAAACAAGCAGAGTGCAAGACAGAGATTTGGAAAGCGAAGCTGCTTGCAACGAGCTAAGAGGTATGCTAGAGGCGATCAAGAAATCGTGTTGAAACTCTCAACGCGCTCTTTCTTTTCGATTGCAACGCAAAAGGGAGCCAGTGACACAAAAATTAACTCAAACAAGAAAAGTGCAAGACAACGAGCCAAGGAACTCTCAACGCGAAGGGAAACTCACCGATGTGGACAACGCTGTGTGAATACGAACAAAACTAACGATCAGGAACACTGAGTTTCATGTTGCCAGGTTCGCGTGTGTTTCGATTTGTTCTAATTTCTTGTCATGAAGAAGCCAAGTGACATGTTGGTGCTACTCAACGACGATAAGAACTGAAAAACGCCATGTCACAGCAGAAAAATGCTACTAGATTGGAGAGATTTTGTGTCAACGTTTTGGAGAGATTTGTTGTTGCTGTGCTCAACGCAATTCCTGCAAGCCGAGAAACAACGCGATCTTCAAAACTTCAATCCAGCTGAAGACGTACATGACAATGACAACAACGATCATGATCCATCCCTGATCCTTGGCCGGACTGGTCAACTCTCGCACCTCTCCACCTCGCAAGGTAAGTTCGTTTAGAGCTTTTCTAAGCAATAAGCGAGTAAGCCAACGAAACAAGAAAGATTTGCTGAAGAAAAAAAAGCGAAGCTGCTTGCAACGAGCTAGGATCGAATGATCAACGATAAATGAAAGGCTAGAATTCGTGTTGAAACTCTCAGCGTTTGAAGACATCAGGTTCGCTCTTTCTTTTCGATTGAGAGTGTCGACAGGGTGCTATGCTCAACACGTAAGGGAGCCAGTGACACAGTCAAGCTAAGATGATATGCTCATCAAACAACTCAAACAAGCAAAGTGCAAAACAACGGCCCAAGGAACTCTCAATGCGAAGGGAGATGACGATACTTAGCCTCAGGTTTGCATGTGTTTCAATTTAAAATGTAAAAGACATGTAAAAGACAAGTGAACGTGTTGGTGCTGCTCAACCACGATAAGAACTGAAAAATGCTGTGTTCAAAAAAGAAAAATGCTACGAGATTGGAGAGATTTTGTCAACGTTTTGGAGAGGTTTTGAGTTATGTTGTTGCTGTGCTCAACGCAAGACCTGCGAGCTGAGAAACAACGCGATCTTCAGAACTTCAATCCAGCTGAAGACGTACATTGACAATGGTCCAACCTCAATGAAAACAACGATCATGAAAACTCCAAAGGCAAAGGAATTTGCATAGCGTGAATTTACAAGAAAAGACGCCTGAATCAACTCATATATTGGTTTGTCTAACTAGGATGTTTGCTGTTCAACGAAATGGAAGTCGAAGTTTAAGAGGTCCGTGAGCTGTTTGTTCTAACCAAAATGTTTACTCAAAGAACTCGACAACGCCAGGCTTCAACCTTCCAGGTCTATGTTCTCTTTAGTTTCCTTTATGGTTTCTCTAACTTCCTTTTGTTTTTGCAACACCATGAGATTGCGACGGTGCCACAGAACAACGTTCCAGGGCCAGCTAACGATGGGTAAATGGAAGTTTACGCTCTGGCAGTGGGAAAACGAGACGATCTACACAAAGCACTCTGTGGTTTCCTTGAAAAGAAATGAATACATTTACAAAGTTGCAAACATTTGTCAAGTAGTTATGTCTCTTCAGGCACTAGCTTAGCTGTTGTTTCCGTGGGAGTGGCCATTGCCACCGTCACTGACTTACAATTCCATTTATTTAGCAGTAACGTGTATCATACCCACCGGGACGGGAGCCGGTTTATGAGCTTTATTCACGAAGTTCACGGATGAATCATCTAATCAATCCTTACTCCCGAGATGCATGGGAAGCGGAAAATTCGCCCAAGAGCCAAGAACACTGGACGAACTGGAGATAAACAAAGAGAGGCACAATACAAGGTTAAAAATATTTTGCTTCTTGGTGTTAAGGTTTAACAAGTTGCTTTCTTATAATGTGAAAGCTAAGCCCAAAGCCACGTGACCCCCAAGGCGCGATTCTTTGTTTGAGTAAGAGCTTGCAAACTTTGAGTATCATAAGTGTCCCAAAGGGTGCTTGCCGTCCGCTAGGCAGTAGTGCGTTCCCTGGTCTCTCAAGTATCACAGTGTCCAGGCCTGGCAACAAAAGCAATGATACATTAGCAACACATCTCTCACTTTTTTTTCCCAGACATTACCAGCTTCTTTACCAGCAACAGCCCGTGGCAAAGTAATCTGAGAAGGCTCGTCGACCCCACCGAAAGGAAATTTCAGCGTAACTTCGTGCCTCTTGTTTGTTTCTGAAAAGGAATGAGATGCGAAGAGCAAATATAATGAACCAAGAGCGGAAAGTCTCACCCTGCGGTATCGACGTATCCCAAAGTTTGTGTTTCCCAAAGATCAACCGCTGCGCTTCTCGGCTCCCACTCGAGTAAATATAGGCCTGAAAGGAACAAGGCGACGATGCTTTGGCAACTTCTATCAGACCTTCGACTCAGCACAAGGAGAGTAACGTCAAGAAAGACTTGGCCTTTGAGTTCACCGTTTTTGTATCCTGTTCTCCAAATATATGCCTGTGATGCAAAGGATGAAGAAACGTTGATTCAAAACAAGACCAGACCTGGAATTGTTTGAGGGCTGTAACTTTGCGATCGGCAGCAATCATGCGAGAACGTTACGCTCTGACTTCGTCCTTAGGAGCATCACTTGGGGGAATGAGCTGCGTTTGCACGTTTCGCTCCTTCGTGTCTTTAAGAGCCTGCTTGACATAACACGAGAGCTTGATTTCTGCTGCCACCAAAACCAATGAAATCTTGGCTGTTGCCTGAGAAGGTCTAGATCATCTTGAGTCTCCTTCGAGTCGTAAGTAGCTGACCGGTGTTTTCCCACATTATCATGTGCATAGGGAAACAAAACGGGAGTGGTGGTGCACACGAGAAAAACATTTGATAAAAGCCGCATAAATAGACAGCATTTCTTGCGGGATAGTTTTTCCTTGGAGCTGCAAGGCTGAGTTTCTTCACTGGTCCATACAAGCGGTCTGTATGGTCGAGGCGAAACTGGCGAAGCTTAAGTGCGGCATCAAAAAGATAATGGTAGCATTCTGCCTGCTTCGCAAAAGATTAAGAGTTAAGCTGGCAACAATACTATCACCTGAGTTTTAGCACAGAACCACGAGTCACCCCAAACGTAAATCCCATGGTTTTTCACTAACACTGCCGTCATTCGTGGATAAGCGGCACTCTTCCAGCAAAACACGAATAAGAAAGACAACAGTGAGAAACGAACGAGCTTTTACTCACGGCTGCTGCTAAAGAATCCGTGAGCTCGTATTCATACGCAGAGTTTTCAATGATCGGGACTACGAGCTAGTGGTAGTAACCATGCCCTTCGATTCCTTTGATCATCTCCATGTCCACGACGGTGCGATGTAGCGCCGGCTGAGATCCAGAAGCTGTGCAGGCACGCAACAGCAGCACGGAAGAGCCATCCAGCAGGCTGTCCGATCAGCAGGATTCCTCGTCCCCTCCCGCTACTAGCGACGAGTAATTAAGTTTCGTTTTGGACTAATTGAGAACTTCCTCTTTTTGTCCTATGAACCATTGCCCCAATTGGCATATAAAATACTTTAGCTCAAACTTATGCCGCGGACGGGTTGGGGTCGCGACCCTTCCACTCTGCCCATTGATCGGAGCTCCAGCTTCGTTTAGATAGGGCTTTTCTTTGCGTTAGCAATAAACAGAGATTTGGAAAGCGAAGCTTCTTGCCGAGCTAAGAGGTCTGTTAGAGGCGATCAAGAAATCGTGTTGAAACTCTCAACGTTTGAAGACGCTCTTTCGATTGCAACGCAAAAGGGAGCCAGTGACACAACAAACAACTCAAACAAGCAAAGTGAAACAACGGATGGACAACGCTCTGTGAATACAAACAAAACTAGATCAACGACACTTAGTTTCATGTTGCCAGGTTCGCGTGTGTTTCGATTTGTTCTAATTTCTTGTCATGAAGAAGCCAACATGTTGGTGCTGTTCAACGACGATAAGAACTGAAAAACGCCATGTCCCAGCGTGTGCCAGGAAGAAAAATGCTACTAGATTGGAGAGATTCTGTGTTATTTTGAGATTTTCGAGTTATGTTGTTGCTACGCTCAACGCAAGACCTGCGAGCTGAGAAAAAACGTTTGAAGAATCCAGGTTTGCTCTTTCATTTCAATTGAGAGTGCCAACGGGGTCAAGAAGATGCTATGCTCAACGCAGAAGGGAGCCACACAGTCAAGCTAAGATGATATGCTCAATCAAACAACTCAAACAAGCTAAGTGCAAACCAACAGTCCAAGGAACTCTCAACGCGAACAGAAATTTGTGAATACAAACAAAACTAACGATCATTGACAGTTGATGATACTTAGCTTCATCTTGTCAGGTTTGCGTGTGTTTAAATTTGTTCTAATTTCTTGTCATGAAAAGGACAAGTGACGTGATGGTAATAACTAAAAAATGCTATGTCCAAGAAGAAAAATGCTACGAAATTGGAGAGATTTTATTGTTGCTGCGCTCAACGCAAGACCTGCGAGAAACAACGTTGGGCCAGAACTTGAAGACGTACATTGACAATGGTCCAACCTCAATGAAAACAACGACCATGAAAACTCCAAAGGCAAAAACATGAATTTACAAGAAAAAACGCCTGAATCAACTCATATATTGGTTTGGATAACTAGGATGTTTGCTGTTCAACGAAATGGAAGTCGAAGTTTAAGAGGTCCGTGAGCTGTTTGTTCTAACCAAAATGTTTGTTCAAAGAACTGGACAATGCCAGGAGAGAGGCTTTAGTTTTCTTTATGGTTTCCCTAACATCCTTTTGTTTTTGGAACGCCATGAGATTGCAACGGTAACGTTCCAGGGCCAGCTAACGATGGGTAGATGGAAGTTACGCTTTGGCAGTGGCAAAACGAGACGATCTACACAAGTGGTTTCCTTGAAAAGAGATGAATACATATACAAAGTTGCAAACATTTGTCCAGTAGTTATGTCAAAAAAGATTCCCGCTTCTGGAGGCTGTGACAGCTACTCAAGAGCTCGTTAAACCTCTTGTAGCTGTCCGAGCTTGAAGACCCAAGCTCGTCACTTCCAAAACTTCCAAGCCGATCCCTTCTGGCGTGAGCACGAGCAGCTTCGTGTCCTCTGTCCATGGCCGAGGAATTTCTTCCAGTCCAATCGCTGCTGCCTGAGTGTTTTCATCCAGCTTTTTGTCCAGCTTTGCCACTAGCTCGTCTCCAGTCGTGCCTCTGGCTCTGTCTGAGGGCTCTTCTTCGTCCCTGGCGTTCGGGAGTAGACTCAAAAGCTCGAGCTCATTTCTGCTTCTCAGGTACTTGAGCTCGTGCCTGAGCATTGCGTCCTTTGGCTTTGAAGTTGCAGCAGTCTCTTTGGTGTACTGCTGGTTGTATCTCTCCACAAAACTCACAACCTTTTCCTGGATCAACTCGGGGACGTCGCCACCTTGGAGCCGAGACGCAAACGCGAGACTCTTTTCGTAGTCCCCTACCTCGTCTCTGTGAAAGGGAGAGGCTCGCTGTTAAGACACATCAGCTTCGTCCAAACACCTGACGCCAGTTCGCCAGGATCCGGGCACCACCTTCCGCACTGCTCCCTGGCTGCAACACGGCTAGCCTCCGGTTCTTCATAGCTCAGGTACACTTCCAGCGGAGCAAGTAGAGACTTGTATTCAGTTTTGTATGACATGCTTAATCTGGTTTGGATTTATTAATTCAGGTTACTTGCATACTTTGTTTCCATCCTGAAAACTGTTAATGGTCAAGGGCATGAATAAAGACCATTAGCCAGGATTTTCTGACTACAATGAGGTAATTCTGCGAAGATAGCACACCATGTGGTGTGCTACCAGAAGGCTGGGCAGGTTCCTTTGATCAAAGCGCTGACAATCTCTCCAAAACGTAACCTAGTATGGCACGTTGAGCAACACCAGCATGTCACTTGGCTTCGTCATGACAAGAAATTAGAACAAATCGACGTAAACCTAAGTATTGTTGATTGTTCATATTCGCACAGCGTCGTCCACATCAGTGAGTTCGCGTTGAGAGTTGGCCCGTTTTTTTGCAGTGTCACTGGCTCCCTTTTGCGTTGAAAAGAAAGAGCGAACCTGGTGTGAGAGTTTTAACACAAATTCTTGATCCCCTCTAGCCTTTCTTTTATGGCATTGGATTAGGCAGCGAGGATCATGTTGTAGGAGGAGATTGGAGCACTAGATCCAAAGGCCACTAGAAATCAATCTGCCAGCGATTAACAAACTAATTTACTCTCCACGTCGTACAGCTGACGATGCCACTCATGAAGAGTGGCACCTCCAAAAACTAAAGTAGCCTTCGTGCATTGATTTCTGTCGAATTCGTGATGAAAACCACAGAAACAACAGGCCCCATACATCTTTAGACCATGGAGTCAAGAGGACCATTCGCCACCTTAGTCTTCGAGGAAGAAAAGGTCCTGAATCTTATTTGAAGCTCCCGTGCGGAGAGGAGCTAGCAGTCCAGGGTTGTAAACCTCGCAAAGAGCTCGCTTTGCAGCAGCCTCTTCATCTGCTCCTCGAGCAGCATCACCACAATCCGGCGCTCTCGCATCCCGCCCTGGGGCGTGGGAAGTAACACCACCACCCCGTTGCCATACCACGGCTCCAGCACCATCGAGAAGTGGGCCGGTCGCCCCCACCCAAACTCAAACTCGTACACTGGGAACGAGTGCAAGTTGACGCTGTAGATCCCCATCCCGGTGCTGGGTGGCGGGACGTTGAGCCCGATATCATGGCCCTTGCGCAGCGTCTCCTCCATCCAGTCGATGGTGGACTGGATCCTCTCCTGGCCTACGTTGCGGACATCCTCGTGGAAGAGCCGCGCGGCGTGGGAGACGTGCTTGTTCTTGAGAGCGCCCACGGCGCACGGCAGGCAGAGCGTGAAGGAGGAGGTGCCGCAGTACTCGCTCGGCATCGGTGGCTGCCACCGGTTTCTGCCCACCTTGGTGGACACCGCGTAGATGTAAGTGTTGGTCACCGAGTCGTCGAAGTCACGGGCCTCGGTGATGCACTTCCAGACGAGACCCGAGACGGCCTCGAAGGAGGTCGGGCTGCTGCCGTAGGCGAACGGGCCAGACGCGATCTCGTGCTTGAGCTCCGCGAGCTGCTGCTCGTTCATGTGGAATGCCCGGACGTGGTAACTGGGCTTGAAGTCCTGGGCGGCCTTGCCCATCTCCTCGGCGATGGCGGGGGTCACGGCAACGAAGTCCCGGACCGGCACGGTGACGCAGGGCGGATCCCGCGCCTTGAGGAGGCTGGAGTCGAAGCTGGGCGGTGGATTTGGCGGTGGGAATCCCCGGTGGAGCTGCGACCAGGCCTTGAGGAAGGGGAAGACCGAGGAGCCGTCCAGGAGGGTGTGGGTGGTGACGAGGCCCAGAGCTATCCCGCCACACCGGAACTTGGTCACCTGGGAGAGTAGTCAAAGCCGATCAAAGCCGGTCAAGTACGCGAACAGGTCTTACCTGAACTTTGAGCTGAGGGAAGTTCTCCGGATCGGTGATCGCGGTCTGGGCCGGGTTGAGCTCCTGCTCGATGGAGCACTGCTTCATGGAATCGCCCCAGTCGCCGAAGCTCGCATCGGCGAAGGCCACCACGAACTCGATGCCGCGGTCGTTGCACTCGAGGATGGGGCGGTCGAGGCCGGCGATCCTGGGCCTCCCCGCGAGCGGATAGTACGGGACGAGGATCCGGGAGAGCGAATCCTTCAAGCTCGCCACCAGCGAATCGAAAGAGCTTACGTGATCCAATGCAGCTGGGTAGTAGTAGACTTGCTTGAGATAGTTCTCGGCCAGGACCTGGATTTGGAAGTTGCAAAGCCAGAGGGTGCAGGGCTGCGGCGTTGGGACCGCTGGAACGATCGTGGACACGGACTCTACGCTCACAACCATCTTTGCAACCAACGATGAAATCCACAAAAACCACAAAAACACTCGAGAGGGAGAAAGAACACCAAAAAGACTTTCGAAATACACTGACAAACTTAGATCATCCCACACGAGACGTTTCTTCCCGAAGATCCCACGAGAAGAACGTGCTTATCGCACATTGTCCTAGATTGACAGAAAAATATCATTCATTTTATAGGGCTGTGTGTTGCGATCCTTGTTGGGTCGCCTCGTGCGCCGACCGTCAGGAGCAGCAGCACTCTCCGCGAGGAGGATCCCAGCTCCAGGAAGATTGTGAAGCCCTCGATTCCCTACGCCTCCTCCAGCGCTCCAAACCCACGTCAAGCCGGCTAGATTCTGGAGGCGCAGAGGAGCGGACAGGGTTTTCTTAGATTTGTTTTCCTTTTGTTCTTTTGATCGTGTGATTGTTTGATTTTTTTTTCCTCTGTTTGACAGAGTTGTGCGCGGCCGGAGCTTTCAAATGCGTCACGGCTTCGTATTATCGTCTTTCCATTCATCCTCTCGTACACAATGCTCCATTTGGTCTCCCTGATCATGTGAACCAAGCACTCTTAACCACGGTTTGTCTTGTGGATCATAGCGTATATACTGGTGATGGATGATCCTTGCGTTTTTCGCCTAGGTCCTGGGACTTGGATGGCTAGCTATCTCTTTGTTGCGGCCAGCAGCCTCGCGAAGCTCTTGACTCAATCGCCATCAGAAGTTTCCAAGAGGCTTTGCATGAAAGTTTTCACTTGCATGTTTTCTAGCGGGATTTGTTTTGTCGCGACCATAAAACACGTCTTTCGCTGCCGAGGCAACCTGATTTTTGCTCGTTCCTGCGCCTTTACGAGAATTGGTAACATTCATTTCCTCGACTTGGTTGATTGATGAGGATTGTTCTTCTTCGTTACCTTCTTCTAAGGAGGGAACATCCTTCAAGCAGTAAGACGCTTTGGGGAACATTTGTCACTTGGGACGATCACCAGAAGCATTTCTCGAGTGAGTCACGTCATTCTTTTCTCTCGTTCGTAAGAATTGGTCAACAGTGATATCTTATGGCACGTATGCCTGTAAGAATCCAGAAGAAGTAAAACCTTTTAACGAGCTCGCAGGAATTTGATAGGGCTGCACCCAAGCCGACTAAACAATCTCATGCAGGACATGCATGAATGCGTTGTAGCGGGTTCCTTAGTCGCGTATGCCGCGTTGATCATTCTGAAGTATAACTCTTAGCAGCTTCGTACCTTGCGAGGTGGAGAGGTGCGAGGCCGGTCAAGGATCAGCGACGGATCATTGAGGTTGGACCATTGACGTCTTCTGAAGATCGCAGGTGCCCAACATTATTTCTCAGCGTTATTTCTCAGCTCGCCTTGCGCTGAGCGCAGCATCCATGGAATTCGTTGAGCAAATTGTGCTCCACCCCATTTTCACGGTGCAAATAGCACAGTACTGTGACATCACAGAATTCATCTTGTAAACTTGGGTCCATTTCAATTTGCTTGAGAATCTGGCATTTTGCAATAATGAGCAATGGAGGAGTAAAACTCCATACTTTTACAGTGGTCCTAGCTGGAAACTGCTTTTCCCATTCGTCTGACGATTTCATGCCAAAAAGCTTGTTTTTTGTTGTGAAAGTTTCATATAGACAAACGCGATCAAGCTCTTGTAAGGCAGGACCAAGTTTACATCAGGACGTGAGCTACTTTTGCAAGATCTGGGACACCTATTCCCTTTCTTGAAATAAAAAGAAATTACAGAAAATTGCTAATAAATTACGTACTCTGCGACGCCAGTATACCCGTGAAAATCCTGTGCTTAGGGTGGAACACAATCCATCTAGTGGGAGTAAACCCCAGGAGCACCACACACTGCCCAATCCAGTACGTGTTGTACATGCTACAATACCACGCCTTGCCACCACCGTCATCCACAAAGGCATCATCTTTTTCACGTTGTGTACATGGGATACTTCATCCTGTTGGTCACTGCTAGTGCCACCATGTTGACAACTGGATTTGATTGATCAGGTGGTTGTTGCTACTGCTGAGGTACTGGTGAACTTTGACAAGGTCCCCACTCTTCCTCCTCTGGCTGTTTTTCTGTTTTCCTTCATAAGACAACTTCTACAGCCTTTTCTGCTTGTTCTTGTCATCATCTCTGGCTACACATGCATAAGCTACTGCTCTGTGGTTGAAGTCTGGTCTTCACTCAGCTTCACTCCTTGTGAATGACGCCCCAAACATGACAACTAAACCAGGAATACCAAGCTTGACACTCCAAGAGATCTCAGTGGGGCCCCTGGAAAGGACCAGACCTCTGGAGATTTTTAACTTGTCATGCCCAATTGTTTGGTATAGCGTTTTTCCAGAGATTATTCAATAAAAAGAGGATATTCGAAAGAGTCTGGTCGAAGTAGAAATTCCTTTGTCAGACGGTTTCCAAGCTCTCAAAGTTTAATCCATTTGAAGACACACTCACAAGCAAAAGTTGTGTTCGAGGAGGCAGTGGCAGGCGCTGCGACCCCGGTGTTTGATCACGTGTGCCTTGTCCGAGAGCCCTGGCTAAACATCAAGGCCGTGAAGAACCGTACTGTGTTCAAGGAAGACTGTAGGATGTTTAAGAAAATCATACACCATAATCCACAAGTAAAGATCTTTTTCTCGGAGTCATCGCCCTGGCACTGTGCTCCATAGAAGCATCGAGTTCACAAAGTCCATGTCTCGGACAAGACGGAGAAGCGTGCTTGAATCGGCCGTTTAAGTACTACAACTTGGGTGTGAGTAAGTCTCGCTCGATTCACGTAATCTTTGGTGTTAAATCTCGTATCGATCCACCACATGGCGCTGTGCTTGCCCGAGTTTGCAAACACTCGAAGAAGAAAGTGGACTGTTTGGAAAAGAGGCTTAAAGCTTTGAAGACAGCACAGGTATTTTGGATTCATCAAGAACGTTGTCAGCTTTTCTTTCTCTTCACGCAAATGGATGCTCCTATTGTGGCGGCGCCATCGTATCAATTTTGTACTTCAATAAAGTCCATGCATTCATAAACATTACAAAATCCACTGACACAATTGTAACGAAGGGATGCTGACTCCTGAGGGTGACGTCGTTGCAAATTTACCTGGAATAGATCATTCACTGTCTGTTATAGAAAATTTGATTTGCAGCAATTGAGCATTCAAAACCAAAAACTAAATAAGCATTCAAAATCAGATCATGCCTTTGTATTGGATGATGAGAATTGGCTTATCTATCTATCTATTTTATAAGCAAAACCGTCATAGGAAGACAGAATAATTTTTTTCTACAACCTCTCAGATCGAAGGCCTGCACTGAATGAGGGATATCTCACCCTGGACATTCCTGGTGAGTTGTATCACTTCAAACTACACACCATCCCACAATTATACTATTGATCAATCCAACCGTGGCCAGCCTTGATCGGCTTGGGATTTCACAAACTCAGCAAGAGCTTGAATATCTTGGTCACTAAGTCGGCTTGCGAATGTACATTGGCCTTGAGGTTTGCAGCCCTCTCCAAATCCCTGCGAGCTTGTTAGCTGAAGTTAAAAGGCTTCTCTGCTTCTATCAAATGGCTTCTTACAGGCATGCGTCCTTTGCCATAGTACGTGATTTTGACGATATCTTCCACTGTTGAGATGCCATTCCTGCGAATGAGAGAAAAGAATGACGAGAGTCACGCGAGAAATGCTTTTCCTACCGTTGGAGATCGTCCGCTCCAAGTGTGGCTCCCTGAAAGAAAAGTTCCCGTGAGTTTCAGATGGTCGTGCAAAGCGTCTTACTGCTTGAAGGATGTTCCCTCCTCGAGCATGGCAACCAATACATGATCTCTGGAACGTCTCAGCGCCTGTGCTAGCATCCGATTCTCCCACTAGAAGAAGAAGATAAATCAAGCAAGTTGAGTAGAGAGAATGAATGTGTTACCAGAATTCGTGAAGGCGCAGGAAAGAGCAAAGAGCAAAGCCATAGCGAAAGACCTGTTCGATGGTCATGGCAAAACAAATCCCGCTAGAAAGCATGCAGAATGAGAACGAGTAAAAACTTTCATGCAAAGCCAGGTTGGCTACTGTACATGAGCCCAAATATATACATACGCGCTTGTACTATACCTTGAGAATCCACAAAGTTTACCTCTTGGAAACGTCTGCTGACGATTGAGTCAAGAGCTTCGCCGAGAGGAGAGCTAACCCGACGCTGCTGGCCGCAAACAAAGAGATGGCCAGCCATCCAAGTCCCAGTACCTTGGCGAGAAAAGCAGGGATCATCCATCACCAAAGTCTATATGACAACAAGATCATACCGTAGTTGCCAGTGCTTGGTTCACATCGTCAGTGAGACCAAATGGAGCATTGTGTACGAGAGGATGAGTGGAAAGATGATCATACGAAGCCGTGACGCCTTTGAAAGCTCCGGCCGCGCACAGTGCTCCTAGAACCGAGCCTGTGATACTCTGTCACACAATCAAAAGAACAAATCTTAACAGGAGATGGCTATCGATCGTGTGTTACCTGCTGTGGAGTGGGCTTCTTGTAGGATTTGCCCCATCCCCTCTGCGGCCTCCAGAATCTAGCCGGCTTGACGTGGGGTTGGATGAGCTTGGGATTGAGGAGCTCGGCGCTGGAGGGGGCGTAGGGAATGCGATCGAAGCGCGGCCGCGAGGGCTCCACAATCTCCATCTCCGGTCGTCTCCTGGAGCTGGGATCCTCCTCGCGGAGAGTGCTGCTGCTCCTCACGGTCGGCGCACGAGGCGACCCAACAAGGATCGCCATCAAAGCCCTAAATGGATGATATTTTATGGCCTCTTTGTTTTTCTTTCTTGCGTCGATCGTTCTAGCTGCAGCCCTGCATTCTCTAGCTTTGCAACTTCCAGGGGGCGTGAGATTCGCATATGGAAGTTCCGAAGAGCCCGGACAAGGCGCTCGGGGCGATGGGGCTGGGAGGAGCGTGCTTGAAGCGGCCGCTCAAGTCTACAACGTTAACTCGGCTAAGTCTCGCGACCCAGCAAATCAATCAAGAAGATGAAGGAAGACAAGAGTGGTGTAAGCACTGAAAGGGCCGTGTTTGGAAAGTTCTAGCTCGAGGCTTTAAGCTTTGAAGATAGCACTAGAAACATATAACTGCCACTTCGTCCCAATGCCCCCATCTCCCATTACACAAAGGTTTCTTGGATTTATTTTTGACGTGTAACGCCTTGGATTATGAATCAAAGTCATAGTTTTCAAAGCATAGGAACACTTTCAACATTTGCTCACTTTCCATGGCATCACAACCACAGGAATGGATTTAGTGCGGCATCTGATTTACAAATAATCAGCAAGTAAGAAAGTTTAGCTCAAGGTTTTCCATCTGCCGCCAAATACAAACTTATAAATTCCAGACCCAGTACAGTAATGGTGAATTCTGTTGCTGGTGACATGGGACGAAGTGGTCCATGCTTGATTGAGCGCATGGATCAATCCCAGTTACATGTTTATAGGCCTGTCTTCCAAACTTTGATAACTCTTTTTCCATACCTGGGTACCTTTAGTGGTCATTCGCCACCACACGACTTCCACCACCGTCTTCCCTCTCCTTGACGGTGAGGACGTTCTTCGCAAACTCGGGCAAGCACAGCGCGCTCGCGTGCAACTGGTGGATCGGCCAACGGGATAAAAACGCTAGAAAATTACGTGAATCGAACGAGACTTACAGCCGAGTTGTAGTACTTGAGCGGGTGCTTCAAGCGCGCTCCTCCCAGCTGCATCGTCCCCAGCGCCTTGTCCGAGACAACGGGCTTTTCGAAATCGATCGCTTCCTTGGAGCACAGTACCAAGCCGATGACTCCACTGAAGTAAACGATCTTTAGCTTGTAGTGTGTGTTGTGCAACGAACCTCGGGTATGTTGGCACCGTCGTCCATGCGAATCTCACGCTCCCCTTGAACACTTGACGGCACACGTCTAGGTGGTTCTTCACGGTCTGGATGTTTAGCCAGGGGCTCTCGGACAAGGCACACATAACACCCCGGGGTCGCAGTGCCCGTGCCACTGCCTGATAGAAAGGAACCTCGAACAGTTCTTTCGCCGGTCCTGTAGAGTGTGTGTGTGTGTTTGGAAA